GGGACACTCTGATTGAATAATGAATTGAAAACATTTTTGTAAACAATACTATTGGGTTTTATTTATGCTAGAAAAGTTTAAATTTGGCGTAAAATTTTTGGATGTTACATTGTCTATTTTATGTTTTGAGGCTCGTCGTTGGTCAGACTCTTATGTATCTTTTTAGGGTGCTTAATTGTTTCCTGGAGAGTGTTTTCATCTGTTCATTGATTCCTAAAACTTGGACTAGAGGTGAGTCAACTAATGTTGCAATGCTAGTACTTTTTTGAGGAAATTTCATATCCTAGGATAAGTTAATTGATTCTAAGTTTATATGTGTAGTGTGTGCCCCTAATTGTGAATGATGTATGTGTTGTAAATGCCTATTCTTTACTATGGAAGTAATATCTAGGGTGTATGGCATGTTAGATACTTGATATGATGTTTGGGTGCAAATTTGTGGATAGGTGCATGCTAATGTGAGGGATATGAATTGATTATGTTGTGTGTTGTATGCATGATATTTTTTCTGGAAATTATATTGTCTATGATGTTAGGACAATGCATGTTGATGATATAATATTCCTAAAAGAAATGATGATGTAATATGCATGACTATATACTGATGAGAAAATGATGAAATATAAATGTCCATTGGTATGTAAATTAATAACAAATGAATAATAGGGGAAAACATGCTTAGAGGGTAAAGGGTGGCAACCTAGACTTAAGTATGTACCCTATCTAGATTGTATGATGGACTAATATGTTGAAAGAATGCCTATATGATAAGAGTTTAAGCCAACAATGAAGTCGAGTGATTTTTATAGACAATCATTCGGTACATGGTCCTTTGATGCAGGGACCGGAGTGATGTTGGTGGTTGGAGGACGTCAAGATCAAACATCACGTTTGAGTGGGAGGTATAATGATGGAAATGTCACTTTTACCACTCTCAAACTACAACTCATTGTACTTGTACACGCATCGTCAGAGTAGCGAACGCGGGGTATCTGGGGCAATTTTACGGGTGAGAGTTGTGCCTCACTTAGTGCATTGGGCCAAGCCGGTCATGCTAGTAGTGAAAAAGATTTATTCCTTATGGGTTAATGATGAACATAAAGACCCACAATAATGACGTAAAATGATGATACGAAGATTAATATTAAAAATATGACAGTGATGAATAATGATGAATAATTACACGAATGAATAGTGATGAGTAATTATTAATGAAGATTAATATTTGAAATATTATAGTGATAAATAATGATAAATCATTACAAGAATGAATAGTGATGAGTAATTATTAATTAAGATTAAAACGAAGATTAATATTAACGTATTATAATGATGATTGTATGTTTTATGTGATTTTATGCAATGTGTGAAGTTGATTGCATGTTATGTGATGATTGATTGACCGTTTTGGGATATGCATGTTTTCATTTAATATTGTACTTATGATTGGCTCACTTAGCATTTGCTGACACTTGTTTTTTGTTTGTTGCAATTGTCTTGCATTGGTTCAAGGTAGCTTGATTGTATGGCTTGGTGGGGATGGGATTCTTTGGGTAGTTATGTTTTGGTATTTCCTTTTGTAGTTATACCATCATGGACATGTTTGTTTGATCTTTCATTTACGGTTGGTTTTGCAAACTTTAACTACTTGAGGGTGGTTTTTGAAGTTAAAAGTAACGTTGGTGATGTTTTTTGAAATAATTTGCTAACTAAGACTTTCACTAACATATTCTGTTAAAAAGTATTTTAAATAAAAGAAAAATAAGATGAAAAATCACAACATTACATAGACAATCTCATGAGATTGTCATGGTCTTGTCTTCAATGATTTTTTTTTTTTTTTTCTGAAAACTATCTACCATCATCTGCATGTCTATACAATTTGCTATTGAGACTTGAGAGTTAAGACAGATCATACAAACTTATAAGTTTGGTATATGATACAAAGTCATTTATTGCAAGGTTTGTCATCATCTATCTAACACAACTAATATGGATTAACACTAACTAAGAAAAAAAACATTTATGTTGGGATTTTCGGTCCAATTAGAGCGAGTTTTGGTATTTTCTTTTTGGTTTTTCGATCGAATAAAGCAATAAAATTAGCAATTGAATATACATACTTGTTAAAGTGAAAAAGTCCATGAAAACACAAAAAATATATTTGACGGATTTCAAATACCTAACATCACAAATAATTGGAATGAAAACTATAAATATCTTATATAATTAATCAAGTACAAAACTTACATATGCTATAAATAGAATGGTATATTAAAATACAGTTAGACTTAGGTTTGGTTTTAAACAAAAAAAAAAAAAACAAACAAACAAAAAAGTAACCCTAAGGGTGCGTTTAGTTGCGGGAAAATGGACCGTTTTCCGGAAAATTTTCCAAGAAAAATGAGAATTTTGAAAACTTGTTTAGTTCGTCTATTTTTCTAAATTTTTCATGGAAAATGAAAATTTTCCGTTTTCTAAAATTACAAAGAAGT